CAGCTAAATTTGAATGAAAAAAGGTATAGAATATAATAATTATCTAAGCATATACATATACGTATAAAGCAAGTTTATTTTATTTATACATATAAGTATGTATTACACGGATGTGTGCATTTAAATATACTATAAGCATGTTTACATGTACATATATGTATGTAATTTTACATATATTATTATATACAAATATATACATATATTTAATATATTTTATGAAGATTATGCACTACACATGTAAGGATGCATTTATTTATATGTAACGTATCACGTATGTATACTTTAATGATCACGCTCATCCAAAATGTTAAACAAAAATGTCAACCAATTGTAGTGGAAACATATAATTTGCAAATGTATGCTTAGTTTCATGTTCAAAAATCTGATATAAATAGTATATAACCAGCCGCATTGCTAAAGTGTTACTTTAGATTATGAAAATTTGAAAATGCCTTAAATATTTATAATATTCATATTAAAATTTCTTTAAATATTTATCTCAAATGCTATGAAAGATAGAATGTGGGGTTTAGTTCACTTTCCGTGATCCGATTCTCCTACAAAGTTTTCTAGTTAAAAGCAAAAAAGTCCAATTATTGGCCCGTGGTGAAAGTTCACTTGTTGATACCTGATGTCCTCAAAAAGTTAGGTAACTTGTTATATTATCAGGCTCAGCTCATATATAAAATTTAAGGAAAATATGCTGATATTTTTCTTAAATATAATTAAAAACGTAAAATCAGTAAGTAGTAAAGATCTAGTTTCAGTGACGTGACATATCCCGAAAGTAGATTGAATCGTCTTATCCTCGAAGTAAACTCAGATATGTATAACTTTTTGTAAAAATCGGCCCAGTATCTTCTGTTTATATATAGAAGTACGTGTAAGGTGAATACGTTTGGAGAATTTATATTATCCTAAGTGTTTAAATTATATTTCTATTCACATAGGACAGGCATGTCAAACTCATTTATCATCACGGGCCATTTTAGGGTTTTCGCACATTGCTTCGGGCTGCACATTAAAAAAACTTAAACTACATACAACAGAAAAAAATATAAAATCATTTTTTCAAAGAAATTTAGCAATGTTTTCTGTTATCAAATCTATGAAATTTGTTTGAATTTAATTCGCTGTTGTAATTTTTAATATTTTTAATATTGATTGTTGAACTGTTAAACTTAATCTTTCAGCCGTTTTATTATTTTTTAATATCGAAAACTATTGTTCACACAAATATGTGCTTACGAACATGGTTAAAAAACGTTTAATTGATTTATGGGTAAATAATTATAAAATTTAGTTATTTCTACTTCTTTAAATTTTTGTTTTAATACAGAACCGCACAGCATTTCCATTTCAATCATAAATTTATATCAACAGAAAAAGTAAATAGGTTAAATTCATTTTGGCATCTATTAATCTAAAAATCTTCTTTCAAGTTCGGTTTTTAATAATTTTTTCTAATTAGAGTATTCATATAATTTCGAATTTACTTCACTAGTCTACTGTTTACAAAAATAGGAAATTAAACTAGTTCAAATATATAAGTATTTGGTTTATAGAACAGTCGCTTTCCACTTCTCAAAACAAACTAAAGTGAAAATTTGGTTCCGGCTACATTTTACATACAGTTGTGTATTTTTTGTAATGCATAAGTTTGGATTGTGGATGTGAGACCGCAGAACATTCACACTGGTTTCAACACTTGCTTTTTAATCTAAATCAATATTTGTAACAAGATTATAAGAATTTAAGTTTACAATTTTCAAAAATCGTAACGGGGGTCAGGATCAAGATCAGATTCCTGGCATAGGATATAAACATATGTCCTATTATAGCGCAACGCAAAGCTTTTGCTATCTATTAGTTATGTAGAATAAGAAATTTCAAAATCTTCTTGGAATTTCAAGGAAATTGCAGAGCTTTTCAACACAGTTTCGATACCAAAAATTTCAATTTTAATTAAAATTTACTCAATTCAAAATTAATTCAATTTACTCATGTTATGTTATTTATTATTTTTATAATATAACTTTTAGTGGTTTAGATTTGTTTTACTCCTACGGATGGAGCACTGCCACATTAAATTTTTTAATGTTTAAAGTCTTTGGAAACACCATTGCAGTTTCCATCTTCTTGTTTGTGTTATGTTTGATCATAGTTGTTTTTATGATTTGTGTTATTTAATAAATGTGTCATGAAAACATAAATTGAATTTCGTTTGGTATTTTAAAAATGAATACGTACATATATACATATATAAATGAATTTTACACTAACTTAATGTGCACAGAAACAATTTATGCAAGCAATCAAAATTAAGAACGAGTTAAAGGTAAATGCATAATACAACATATAAAATTTATTTATGACAGATTATATAAATCTGATTGATCATTTAAAAGTTTTCCAATTTATGATAGTACGAGTATTAAATTTTTTGTTTGCCTTAAATGTTTTCCTGCATGATCTTTTGTTTTTCCATGTTTTAAACGTTCATTATGAAATTTGTTAGTCTTTACTTTTTTAACTTTAAACATAGATTAAAAACTAAAATTTTAATCTTACCTGTGATTAAAATATTAATTCAAAAACTTCTGCTTAAATGAAAATTCACTATTTTTCTTATTTTTAAACTTATTACTTTCTTGACAATATTTTCTCAACCACAATTAGACTTAACAGTTTTTGCGTAAGGTATGTATATAATATGCATATAATAATGATATTTTAGTATTTTAGAGAGGTGCTTCTTTCACACTATTATTTAAAAAGTTCAAGTAATTTAATACGAGTTTGTTTAAAAAATTTACAAAAATTGTTGTGAAATTTGGTAGAATTGCTGCTTGTACTTATGCATTTGCTTGTACAAAAATTAGTAGTTCGAGTCGATTTGATCGCCGTTTTTATCTTAAAACGATTGTTGAAATGGTTGGAGCTTTTTACAATATGTAAGAGTATTTAAAAATTATAAAACTTTATTTTACTTTAAGTAAATAAAAAATAAAATATTTCACGACTTTGTTACTTAACATTCATCACGAATGACTTTAAAACTTTATATCATATTTTATAATATAATAATTAACTATTATAGTTTTAACACCGATATAATAAAATATCTAATTTTTAATTAAATTTAATTAATAAGGAAACTAGTCCATTCTATTATTGGCCTGATCTCGGTCAAAAAGTCAACAACTTGTGTTTTATTTTTTTTTAAATAAATTAATAAACGTTTTTGTAATATCATTTATATAGAGAAGTAAAGTAAGTTTTTGCGTATAAATGGTAGTTTAATAAATTTGCAATTGAATTTCGAAACTTAATGGCTAAAAAAACGCCTGGTGATACGAACATTATAACTTTTAAGTTATAGCTCCATATATTTATTTCTTAATCAAGGTTTTCATGAATCAAAATTTAATGTTATTTGTTGTATAAGTGTTTTTTGTTTGTTGGTCTTTACTTTTGAATTTAAAGGAAATGACCGACTATCATTAGGTTAATGCTACAACTAGATAAATCAAAAATTTTATATTTTTAGATAATTAACATACGCGTCATAAAATCGAATGCTCTTTTATTTGCGACCAATATCTAAGCTTGAAAGTGTCCTTAAATATCTGAAAATGACAATACCACAACTAGATATATTCAAAATATATTATTTGTTATTGCTAAATATTTCAAAAGGAATATCTCTAAACCAATAATTGCTAGTCTTTCTTTTATAAAGTTTAATAAAATTTTTCCTTTAAATCAAAATAATAAAATCCTTTCCCATAAATTTCGAAATTCTTATTTTTTATATTAAATTTGCACAATAACAAAAAGCTCATAAACAACAGCAATTATTTTCATATAAAATTGTTTTCACATAAAATTTAAAGTATCAAATTACTTAATGCAATTTACTTTTTTAATTTCACTTAAAATAATTACTGCTGACTAAATTAACTTTATGTTTTCAAGTAACTATAATTAAATAAATGATGTTAAATTCAATATAGATTATTATTAAGTTTGCTTTCAAAAAGCAAAGTTCAGTTTTACTGTCAGTCTTAAGATTAAAGTACAGTGAAATACATAAAATAAGTAATTCGCGCAATTAAATTTGCTTTAATACAATACATGCAATCCAAATAAGCAACTGACAATTGCTGGCGCCAGTTCATGAAAGTTTATAAAAAACGCTTGTCCGTTTTATTACAAAACCTTGTTTATTCACAGCTTCACTTAAAAGTTTGCCATTAGAATTTTAATTTATTTTTCTATGATTTCAGTTAAATCTTCTACATACATATGTATGTTACAATACAATTTTATTTTACTTTTTGTTATACTATCACAGTGAAACTTTAAATTATAGTGTGGATTTTTTTCACACGTCATTTTCCTTGAAAGCTCGGCCTATAACTCGACCTGTGACATTGCAACGTGCTAACAACGTTCATTTTCTACAATTATTTTCTCAAATGCCAAAGTGATATTATACTTTTTACAAAATTGAAAATTAAAAATGTAAAGATAATATTAAATGCACTTTGCAGTGTTTTCAAATAAGAAAAAAAATTAAATAAAAAATGATGTGTTCCAAATCGGATTTCACGTGTTGGTTTAGATCAATAATTTCGTGTGTTAATTTGCATCCATAACATACATATATTTATGCACATTATTAATAGCGCTTTCAATATTATGCACAGATTTATACAATTGTCCGTAATCCATTCACAACAGTACCACAATACGGACTAACTCAAATAAAACTCAAATAAAAAAATTGTTATATCAGTATGTTTTACTAAACATAATGGACTATTCTTCGCAATTTCGTTTGCACTTGTAAATATTATAAGCTTTAATTTTACATAAGAAATGTAAATGCATTATGCATTATATTACTATATATTATGTAATACTGTATACATAAAGACATATGTTTTTTTATGTTTTATAATATTTTAATCAAAAACATTATTATATAAACTTACCATATCCCCAAAAACTGGCAATTATTAAACAAATCGCCAGAAGATTTAGTTTCAGTTTCATTTTTAATTTACGAGTATGTTGTGTAAAACAGAAGTTTTTAATTCATTTAATTTAAACAATTTTTGTTAAAACTATAGCATAATATTTACGATCATCCAAACATCTATAAGAATCAACGATTACTGTGATGAACTTGAATCATCTACACTTATCTACCCACAAATTATTTTGATCTTTTAAATAAATAAAGTTCAAAAAAAAGAATTTTAAAATAAAAAAAAATATTAAATATTTTCTAATTTTATTAAAAGCGTCTCATAAGAATATCTCGTGTGTTTTAATTCACTTATATCGATGTTTGCTGGATGTTAACTGATTAGTGTAGTAAATTTTTTTTACTACTATTCATTAATTCAGATAAAATTTTTAACAGAATAATATAAATAAATATGTACATATGTATGTGGGCATGTTTTTTCATGAGAACGTTGTATTTTTTTGAATAATTTTATTTAGTTTGAAACCTTTTTTGTAAAAAAAAGAGATGTCTATAATTCCTACTCTTATTTTTGTAATTACAACGTATGTACTGTGTGTGAGGGTAGGTGTGGATAAACCATTCCTGAGCTCCAAAATTAACTTTTTTCAGATAAGACAATATTGAAGAAAGTTATTTAAAAGTTTCCATTACAGTTTTACTTTTTTATCCATAATTTAGTTATAATTATTTAAATATTAATATAAATTCATGTTAAATCTTAATGGCACTTTTATGAACTTCCCTACTTGCTTATGTAAACAGTTGGAGTTCTAAAAATGTAGAATTCTTCAAGAAGTTCTTTAATATTGACTAAAAAGAGGCAATATCGTCGGAAACAAGGAAATAGCTCATTATATTATTGAAGAAATGTTTAATTATAAAGCTTCAAATGAGTCGGTAAACAGTGTTAAACAAAATTTTAAAATCGATTTTTTTGTAATTTTTCTTTAATTTCAACATTAGTTGAAAAATTATTTATAAATTTATTTTTTATATATATAATTATGTATTAATTAAAAATTAATTTTGACTAAGGAGCCTAAAGTACCTACAACCCAACCCTGCAATTCTTATGTTCACATTTTACACAAATACACAAAATTTTTGTTATTATTTTTTGTTTCAAAGTGCTGAAAAGCTGTTTTGACTTTTTCATTTTGTAACGATTTTAGTTCTGTGATTGGCGATTTGCGACCGTATACATACGTGTGTATGGATGTATCCATACATATGTAAATAGTCACATACAGGTATACCTAATACAGCGCTGACTCACTTTAACTTAAATAGAAGGCTTAGTAATATTATCGAAATAAATTGCGTAAAAAGCTTTACTCACTGCGGAATGAGAAAATTTTATAAACATGTGTGTTTGTATCTATGTATATGTACGCGCATGTTCATAAATGAATGTGCATTGGAAATGCTTATTTTGTTATGCTACTACACAGAACGTTTGGAAAATATATTAATGTTTCTATGTACACATGCATGCATGTAGCAAAGCGATATTCAACCATGCTTCATTTTTATACATATTTAATTTTATTTTTCCTAGTTTAATTACAAAATTGAGAATGCAATAAATACATATACATATGTATGTATGTATGTATGAATGTATATTGTCGTCTTTTTAAGAACAGAATTATTTCTGTTTACGAAAAAGTGATGACCTCTACGAAGTAAATTTTTTATAAAAAATACTTAAATATAGACATATGTACATAAATACATATGCATTAATAAATGAAATTGAGCAACAAAAACAAAGGCGGTGCAGTATTCTTCGCCTTATTCTCATAAATATGAAGAAGTTCACAACTTTAATTAAAAACTCAAAAATTAAATTTGTTAGTTACAAGGAAAATAAGTTTTAATTCTGTTCTTTCCGCTTTAATTAAGTGAACTCAGAGATCAAATACTCTAATTTTTTTATATGTCGCTATAATATCACGTTATATATGTACATCAGACGAATCGCTTGTGCAATCATTATTTATGTTAATGTAACTATCAGATCGCCCAGCAAAATCGTTATTTTTTGATGAGGAAGGAAAAGACTTTATTAGTATTTGATAGACTTTTAATTTCAATAATATAACCCTATGAGGAATTCCATCAAAAGCCTTACTAATACCAGTGAAAATGACGTCGACCTGACTCACATGCTTTATAACGTTTGCAGTATACGAAACAAACTCAACCAAATAAGTGACTGTAGACCCTCATAATCTCAAGAATGCAATTCGCAGTTGAAAAACTGCCGTTAAAACAATAAATGGCACGTGTATCAGGTGCAAATCAACGGGGACCATTCTTCAACTTAACTACAAAAGTTTAGCTTTACTACGAAAGGCCAATATTTTTGTGATATCTAACAGGACGGTGGGAAAAAATGTCTCCAGAATTGACGCGAATAGAAACTACCCACAAGGCAGAGAATATTAATCACATCTGATAAGCAGTAGTCTAAAGTTGACGTCGGGGCACTGATTTTATACATAACTGGGATCCTTGGCATTCATTCGTGTTGTTTCGAAACATTTGATGAGTTCAATACCTTAAACAATGTGTTCCGGACATGCGGCAAAATCGTTTCTACAATGCCTCTATTCATTATTTGGTTAGGCATACCGTTAATAGACCACATATTTTGGAAGAGAACTGAATTCTTTTGATTGATGTAATGATAATTGGTGCTGAGGCACTGTATGTAAGTTTATCTTCTACTTTAGACCACGTTATGCTACTTTTATTTTAGTGTTTTGGTCTGACTTCGACTATTCTTAAAGCTTTGCTCAAACTATGACTGATACAGGTTTCTTGTTTTTTTAAGTGCTATTAAAAATTACTGTCTTAACGTAAGAAAGAATGTTTCCATTGAAATATTTAAATAAATTATTATTCACACCGCTTATCGTTTTTTGTAAAAGTTTTATTGAGTTATAACATACTTTGGTCGCGTATTGTGTCCAAAAATCAATATTTTCACTAGGACCGTATTATTAGGATTTGAATCTGAGAATTGTTTTGTTATTGTGCATTTTGTTAAATAAAACAGCTAAATATGTTCGTATTCCAGAGTATAGAAACAATGACGTTCTGACGTATTTGGTGCTATTAGTTGGAAAGAGTTTCTCATCTTCTTATTTTACTTGCCGGGTAAGGTTACCCATCTGAATCTATCAGACATTGGATTTCTAAGACATAAGAAAAAAATGTAAAATGGCAAAGAATTATTGAAAATTTTATACTCGTATTACTTAACTTTGAGTTATAGATCGATAAAATTATGTATTTCCCCAGAAACCTGGACATGTAAATTTGACATAAAAATATAATTAATATAGTATTTCCATACAAAACATATATATACATGTAAAGTGTGAGCGTACAAGTATGCACACAAGACATATCATACACAATTAGCAAATCCATTTTTTTTTTCGCTCCTTGTCCTGTTTCAGCATCGAAAAACATCTCTGATTCCTTTATTAGTTACCAACGAACATCATATGGTCTGATTCCTCCAAGACAAGCGGGGTTGATTAGCCCCTCTCGTTTTCAGCACGTCAGCTGCATCATTTCCTTTTACGTTCACATGGCCCGGCATCCTGCACAAAGTGACCCGATAGCCCCTTTCTAGGCTAAACTGCACACACAATTCAATGACCAAACACTCCCGCACTCTTCCCCGTATTGTGATTCAACTGAATAACCCGAAAAGTTGCGCTCTGAATTCCTTACCCCGATCATTTCAACACCAATTCTTTCCAACCTCAAAATGGCAGCCACTCAAACCATAAGTGCCTAGGTGGCTCTTATACACACAGCTTCCTCGTGACTTCGCAAAAGAAGTCAGGATTCAAATATTATCCCAAGTATTTGACTTCCGATTTTCTCCCAACAACAACCCACATACGTAAATTGTATTCAGGTGCTCTACAAATTTCGAGAGGCGATAACATGAGAGGGGGTGGATTTGGAAATTAATTTTCTTCTAACGAGAGGAACCACTTATTAGTGCCCAAACTGTGCAGACACTTTGTTTTTTCAACGGGCAATACGTTTTGCCGTAGTAGAAGAAGGCAGCGTTTGCAAAATTTGAAAAATGCTAACCTTGTTCACAATTTTCGGCCAAACTTCACGGTTCTGGGCCGCTTCCCTCCAATAATGAACCCCAATTCTTCTACAATCAGTCTCTATACCATCGAGCCAGCTAGATCTAGCCCTGCCTCTTTCTCTTGTGTTGTATATTCTTGTATCTAGGATTCATTTTTGCACTCAATGTCCTGGCATTCGAGATACGTGTCCTGCCCATCTTAGTCTGTGTCCCTTAATATATTTGACGAAGTTTTTTTTTCCATTAATTATTTCTTCTAGCTTCTGATTTGATCTTATTTCATATTCCCCGTTTTCATTTAATTTTGAATCAAATATTTTTCTGACCAGGTTTCTTTCAAATATTTTTAACTTTTCCTCGTCAATTGTTGTCATGGTCCATGCTTCGCAGCTATATATTAGTATGACCTGGCTATTAACCTGGATTGGGGAAGATGTTGAGATTTTGTTATTTATTAAGGCACCCAGGTATGTAAAACTTCTTACACCTTCAAAGTTGTAAGTGTTAATAGTTAAGTTTTGAGGGTGCCTTCTTGTATTATTTCGCGCCATTAGCATGTATTTCGTCTTTGACTCATTGATTATCAGACCCATAGAAGCAGCTCTTGTCCCTAATATTGAAAACATTTCTTTCATTTCCTTAAAAGAGCTGGCCACAATTGCATACGCAAAAACCATTGCCGATCTTATAAATATGTGTCCACCTCGATCCAGCTCATGTAATGCATAATGCAGCATTATGTTGAAAACCTTGTCTGACTCTTGTTTTTATTTTAAATTCGTTCATTAATTTATGTTGTACAGCTACTTTACATTTAGTCTCTCTTAGTGTTAGTTTAACCATATTTATCAATTTATTTCCAACTGACAACCTTCTAAAAACGGGTTCTATCATTTCACGTCTCCTTCTATGGGATTCCACCCTGCCGTGGTGAAGGGGCTGAAGTCCGCTACGCCAGAGCCCTGCATGACGTAGTAAGGTTAGTTTAACCATATTTATCAATTTATTTCCAACTCCCAACCTTCTAAAAACGGGTTCTATCATTTCACGTCTCCTTCGATGGGATTCCACCTTGCCTCGGTGAAGGGGCTGAAGTAGGGTCAATGATCTTAAGAGCGATTTCGGCGGATACCACGACTCTGTGGTGTCTGGCAGGTGCAACCATGCCGACAAGGTCGTAAGTGAGACCTGAAAACCAAGAGAATCTCCTGGGCATGAAGTAA